CCTCCTAGTGTTGCCACCCACCTATTCCAATCTGGGTGGTTCCACTGTGGGCCTGTTGCTCAGTCCTTGTGTTGGAACTTCCATTTGCTATCACTCTGGGAATTCTCTTTGCATCTGCTGGATCCTCTGTTTGCTTAATCCCATGGATTCCAAAATCCCAGTATTCTCCTTCTAATTGATTCTCTGTGTGTGTGTGTGCGTGTGTGTGCATGCCATGTACATATATGCATATGCTTGGGCACATCTTCAAATAGCTTCCTAAGAAAGGGGATTGGGAAGTACATTTTTTGAAGACTTGCATGTCTAGAAATGTCTGTTTTCTACTCTTTCTCTTGATGGAGAGTTTGGGTGAATATAGAATTCTTGGTTAAAAAATAATTTTTTCTTGAAAATTTTAAGGTATAGATTCATTATCTTCTGCCTTCCATTTGAGAAGTTTGATGTCATTCTCATTCAAAATCTTTTGTTCATTAATTACCTGTCTCCCTCATCCCCCATCTCCACCAGAGCTTTCAGAGTCTTCTGATTATACCAAGTGTTTGAAATTTCATGTTAATGAGCCTTTTGTTGTTGCTGTTTCTTACTGTTTGTTGGGATTTTTGTTTGTCTTTATTAATAGGGCTGGATACTCAAAAGGCCTTTTGAGAAGAGGTTCATTAAAAAAAACAAGAAGAGGTTCATTTTTTTCAGCTGTGGAAAATTCTCTTGTATTGTTTTATTAATACATACTTTTTCTCTACCACTCTTTTCTGTTCTTTCTTTCTGCAGCTCCTATTAATTAGCTGTTAGACCTCCTGGATTGGTCATCTAATATCTTATGTTTTCTCTCTTATTATTAAATTATTTACCACTTTGTTCCACATTTTGGATTCCCTAACTATATCCTCCACTGTACTACTAAGATTTTCATTTCTGCCATCTAATTTTTATTTTTCTGGTGTTTTTGTTGTTATCTAAATAGTCTTCTTTTTAAAACCACCATCTTGTTCTTGTTTTACAGATACAATATTCTCTCTTACCTCTCTGAGAAAAGTGGTGAATATTTTTCATCTCTTCTTTCTGCATAGTTTGAGTTTTCTCTGAGTTTTCTCTCCTTTTTAAAACGACAAGCAAAAAACCAATTTATTGGGGTATAATTTTTATTCCACAACACTCATCCATTTTAAATGTTTTTCAGTATATTTACTGAGTCATGCAGCCATCATCACAATCCAGTTTTAGAACATGTTCATCACTCCAAAAAGATCCCTGTGCCCATTTGCAGTTCTCCCCATTTCCTGCTCTTTGTCTCTATACATTTGCCTTTTCTAGACATTTCATACACATGGAATGATAGAACATGTGATCTTAGGTGTCTGATTTCTTTCACTTTACGTAATGTTCTTGCAGGTCATCTTTGCTGCAGCATTCATCAGTAGCTCACTCATCACAGTTATTGTTAAAGACCATGTATGCTGGTACCACATTTTGTTTTGTCATTCACCCATTGAATTGTTTATACTTTGTGGAAATTCTAAGCACTTTTTGTTATTTTAATATTTTTAAATTTAAATTCAATTTTTTAAGAAATATTTTATTTTGAACTCTTTCACATTAGAGGGATTTTTTCCCCCAAAATATACAATACTCTGGCAGTCTGATTATATTTAGAGAGGCCAAAAAAATTCTTTGGAAGCTGGTTGCATACATGTTTGAGGCAAGGGAGCTGGTGAAGTGGGGGCTTCATTGTAATTATTTTGGTAAATCCCTCATATCAGTATTTTTCACCCTTTTATCTTGCACTGGTCTAATTTTCTGGAGAAGACTTTTCTAATGTCTCGGCTAGAGGTTATAATCCTAGCTTCCAGTGTTCTAGCAGCAAGAGGAAGTAGAAGGCTGAGACATCATAAATTTTAGCACATAAACTTTTACTTAACCCCCCGTTTTCAGCAGGACATCTCTAACTCCTTCAACCGTGCCCCTGAGTCCAGAGACCCTCTGTTTTATTCTCTTCTACTGGGGTGGCTGCACAGAATGGTGAAGATCTATAGAGAAGCCATTTAAATAAACTTTCAAGCAATCCCTCTATTTTCATCCTTACCATTATCTGCTGCTCCTCCTCCATTGCCAGAGATATCTGGTGCCAATTTCTAAGCCTTTGGGGTTCCACAGTGTAAAGTAGGTTACCTCTCTGCTTTTCCCACTGCCAATTTAGGATTAGCTTTCTTGGATCCCCTAATCCATTTACCACTTTTCCATCTACTTTGCAGCATCCAAATTTTACTGCTATTGTTTTCTCCCCTGTTCTCATTATGGGTTTATGCTTCTATAAAAATCATTTTACTCTTATTTTCATAGCATTTTTGGAGGGAGTAAAGTATTTAACCAGCCATCTTTAATGAGGATCTGCATTTAATACTTGAATAAAAAGTAAACCTTTCAATTCCAAATAATTTATGTGAATAACCCACCCTCAAGGAAGTACAGCATAAATCAACACTCCTTAAATGTGTGCTATAGGTAGTGACTTCCTTCTAAGAGAACAGAATAGACAGTGTAGGGGGGTCAGGGGAATAATGTCACAGTGCAGAAACCTGACAAACACCATCTCAGCCAGGGTAACATATAGTTAACCTTGATAGTATGTGCCCTTGATGTGATGTGAAGAGAGTGGCACTTTACCTCTGAGGTCTCTTTCCCCAAAACTTATAACCCCAGTCTAATCATGAGAAAAACATCAGACAAAGGCCGGCCCGTGGCTCACTTGGTAGAGTGCGGTGCTGATAACACCAAGGCCACGGGTT